GACCACCAGGTAAAAACAGAGGGCAAAAAAGACCTAACAAGAAAATAAAAGCGAATGCAGCTACCACTATCTAAGGACTGGTAAGCTGCAATGTATTGCAATTTTGGTTTTGGGTTTATTACCACTTTAACTTGGGTTTTCCACAAACAACTGCAATATTTTGAAGCTTGGATGAATGGGTTTAGGGAATATAATACATTTGGTAGATTAAAATGGTTCTGTGAAAAAAGAAACAACTGAGGAAAAAAGAGGGACAGACAGCGATTTGACTCCAGAAAAGGAAGAACCTCTCTGAATGATTGACAGTTAGGAGCAATCACATTCCTGATAGAGTACATCTCATTCCTGGAGGCTGGAAAATGAAGGTCAGCCTATGTTAGCTTTTTAACTAATTACAGATAAGGCCAACTATTTGAAGTCGTTCTAATAATGTCTCTATATCTATGAGATCTTGGAACAGACCCTTCTGCTCTCAGTGCGTAAGCATTCTTTCAGTTCAGATCATGCAAGGGTTAAGTTCTGTCCTGACTGCTCGGATGTCACAGTACAGAGCCGATTAAGAATGATTAACTGAGAAATTGGGATGAATACAAATGACGATTAACCATTTCCCTGACACTAATCTGCATGCCACTCAAGACAAACAGAAAATGTGACCATACAGTAAAACACAACAGTAAAGCCTTACCAAATAAAATAAAAATCAGATCATGTCCATCTAGGACACAACTGAAAGAGAAATTGCACTGAGGCTGTGATTGCTGGCATATCGTGTCCATCTAGGACACAAATGAAAGAGAACCTGCACTAAGGTTGTGATTGCTGGCAGATCGTGTCCATCTAGGACACAAATGAAAGAGAACCTGCACTGAGGTTGTGATTGCTGGCAGATCATATCCATCCAGGACACAACTGAAAGAGAACCTGCACTGGGGGTTGTGATTGCTGGCAGATCATGTCCATTTAGGACACAACTAAAAGAGAACCTGCACCGAGCCTGTGATTGCTGGCAGATAATGACCACCTAGGACACAACTGAAAGAGAACCTGCACGGGGTTGTGATTGCTGGCAGATCGTGACCATGTAGGACACAACTGAAAGAGAACCTGCACCGAGGCTGTGATTGCTGGCAGATCGTGTCCATCTAGGACACAACTGAAAGAGAAATTGCACCGAGGCTGTGATTGCTGGCAGATCGTGTCCATCTAGGACACAACTGAAAGAGAACCTGCACCGAGGCTGTGATTGCTGGCAGATCGTGTCCATTTAGGACACAACTGAAAGAGAACCTGCACTGGGGTTGTGATTGCTGGCAGATCATGTCCATTTAGGACACAACTAAAAGAGAACCTGCACCGAGGTTGTGATTGTTGGCAGATCGTGACCATCTAGGACACAACTGAAAGAGAACCTGCACCGAGGTTGTGATTCCTGGCAGATTGTGTCCATCTAGGACACAACTGAAAGAGAACCTGCACCGAGGTTGTGATTGCTGGCAGATCAAGGCTATCTAGCACACAACTGAAAGAGAACCTGCACCGAGGTTGTGATTGCTGGCAGATCATGTCCATCTAGGACACAACTGAAAGAGAACCTGCACCGAGGCTGTGATTGCTGGCAGATCATGTCCATCCAGGACACAACTGAAAGAGAACCTGCACCGGGGTTGTGATTGCTGGCAGATCGTGTCCATCTAGGACACAACTGAAAGAGAACTTGCACTGAGGCTGTGATTGCCGGCAGATCATGTCCATCTAGGACATAATTGAAAGAGAACCTGTACTGAGCCTGTGACTGCTGGCAGATCAAGGCCATCTAGGACACAACTGAAAGAGAACCTGCACTGGGGGTTGTGATTGCTGGCAGATCATGTCCATTTAGGACACAACTGAAAGAGAACCTGCACTGAGGTTGTGATTGCTGGCAGATCGTGTCCATCTAGGTCACAACTGAAAGAGAACCTGCACTGATGCTGTGATTGCTGGCAGATCGTGTCCATCTAGGACACAACTGAAAGAGAACCTGCACCGAGGTTGTGATTGCTGGCAGATCGTGTCCATCTAGGACACAACTGAAAGAGAACCTGCACAGAGGCTGTGATTGCTGGCAGATCGTGTCCATCTAGGACACAAATGAAAGAGAACCTGCATCGAGGCTGTGATTGCTGGCAGATCATGTCCATCTAGGAGAAAACTGAAAGAGAACCTGCACCGAGGCTGTGATTGCTGGCAGATCGTGTCCATTTAGGACACAACTGAAAGAGAACCTGCACCGAAGCTGTGATTGCTGGCAGATCGTGTCCATCTAGGACACAACTGAAAGAGAACCTGCACCGAGGCTGTGATTGCTGGCAGATCGTGTCCATCTAGGACACAACTGAAAGAGAACCTGCACCGAGGCTGTGATTGCTGGCAGATCCTGTCCATCTAGGACATAATTGAAAGAGAACCTGTACTGAGCCTGTGATTGCTGGCAGATCAAGGCCATCTAGGACACAAGTGAAAAAGAACCTGTACCAAGGTTGTGATTGCTGGCAGATCATGTCCATCTAGGACACAACTGAAAGAGAACCTGTACCAAAGCTGTGATTGCTGGCAGATCATGTCCATCTAGGACACAAATGAAAGAGAACCTGTACCAAAGCTGTGATTGCTGGCATTCATGGTGATATTCTAAAAAAAATTTTAGTTACTGGGTTTTCTCTGGTTTCAATAGTTTCTGAGGTATTGATGCAGAAGAAGCATTAAAACGCAAGAACTCCTAATCTGAATGCTTGTTCCTGGTCAGTGTTCCTGTTATGAAATCCAGGAAACTAGCATTTTTTAAAGTTTTTAATTCCCTTGACCTTGTAGAGCACCATGCATCCCAACTGTTCTTGTTTTGACAGGACAAAGAGGATTAGCTAAATATGTCATTTACAGTGTAATTATGATTATCAGAGAAAGTCCTAAAGGGTCTCCCCACTCTAAACATTTATCTGGAGACTTAAAGTGCTATTAAACCCAAAAGCAAGCATTTATTATATTGCAGCTTAACATTTCTTAGATGTGATTTCTGCATTTATTTATTTCTGTAGGTTTTCTTATGTTTTCATCTGGTGATTCAGCCATTAAATCTGTTTTTCAAAAGAACATGCTTTCTAGCAGAATGTATCAGTAAGGGTCCTTTCAGATGGCACGGACCTGTTTAGCGGGGGATCTCCCTGCAAGAGGATGACAGGTCTGTGTCTGCTCCGCTGCTGCAGAGGAGACACAGTTCTGCTTACTCTCCTCAATGGGTGGCCAGATGAAAACGGACCACCTGTCCATTTCCATCCGACCCAATGCAACAGAGAGAAGGGAAATTGGATCTCCATCCGTCCCTTTTTTGCGGATCAAATTGAATGTCTGCGGGTGTAAACGGACACATGTCTGTTTACACCCACTGCTCCATACAGGAGAATGGAGGTTCTGATTGGGTCTGCCTGAAAAAACTGGCAGGCGGACCCGATCAGAGCATTCATCTGCAAGAGGCCTTACAGAGATGAGACAAACCATTTAACACTAGCAGGGGTACTTACAATGATCAACTTATAAACTGTTTATAAAGTATTAACCAGAGTTTGGCTTCAATTTGTTAGTGTATTTAAATCTGCTACTACATGTAACACTCCCCTCCCCAAACTGGCAATGCTGCTGCTGCCCCAAGGTGCCCTCTGTGCTCCCTTATCAAGAGTGGGGGCACTGTAATACAAGAGGGGTGTTACTGGCCTGAGCACCAGGTGAAAACAGAGGGGAAAAAGTCTAAGAAAAGAAAACTAATGCAGCCACTATATCTAATGATTAGCAAGCTTCAATATATAAAAAATTTTGGGTTTTGGCTTTAATACTGCTTTAACATAAAACACCTCCCTGATAAATAATCTTTTCCCTTTCCAACCACTGTGGAGTCTCCCTCTTCCTGCTGCAGCAGAAAGATATTTATTACTTCTCTCAGATTCTCTAATTAAAAACAATAAAATTAAATTGCTATGGGTGTGACAGAAGAGTTTAGGTGCTGTTTTACACTTCTCCATTCTGGGGCATTGCGTAAAAGTATATGTACTTTACATGCATTCAAACGTTACAATGACAATACATTCCTGACACACACGTGTGTGTTGTGATGTGCTGTGTCAAAAAAAATACAGCATGAGCGTTTTAGTGCTTTGGCAGCCCATTCATTTAAATGATCTGCCTTAACACAATGCATGTTAACTCAACCCACCAAAATGGCAAAGTGAAAATGGCCACTAAAGGGCAGGGATGTTTCAATCTAGAGTGAAATGCAGCGTGAGGCGTGATGACATCACCAGACACCTCACACTGAGTTCCACTTGTGTTCCAGCCCTCCTTCTTGGTCCTCCTTCACACTCCAGGTGGCCTTTTGAGAGAGACGAGAGGTTATTGCACAGCCAAGGACACAGGCAGCATTGGAGACCTTCTTACTCACCAGATACCATTACTATGTTCCTGCTTTTCTCTTCAAATATGTGAGTTGCTAATATACACCTCTTTTTAATAAAAATTGTAAATGGTCTACACTTAGAGGCACCTTTTGTAGTTCCTTTTGTCTTCCATACATTACCTGGAGATTGCTTCTACTCCTTACAGAAGCTTGCCTAAAACCTGCAGACCCCCCCTCCCCATACTCCGGTGACTTCCTTTCCATTCCGGATGGAATCTTTTTTATAAACATATGGGCTTCTTAGACTACGAGACAGACTGATTGCACCTTTACCTTCTTTCTCCTATTGACCTTAAGATGCAGATTTCTACACCGATATCAAGGTGGTGTTAGGATACCACCAGGTTAGGTTTGCTCATGTACACTGCAGCTGATAAACTCACGTTTAGGAGCTGTTCAGCGTTTTTTTTTCAGCAGCCCCTGAACTCACCCTAATGTTTTTCCTATGTGTCCATGTACACATCTTCGTTTACAGTCATTTACAGGCAGTTGAGTGTACAGTCGTTTTTTTTTAACGCAACAAACTTGCATTTAGACGTTAATTTTATCAGCGTTTTGAACACAAAATGCGGCTAAACGCGGCAAATCGCGTTTATAAGTGTTTGTGTTTGACATTTTTTTAAACTCTTCAAGTTCCTGATGCTGTCCAGAACCTTTTTTCATCATGAAAAATGCATGCAAAGCATGTTCAAGGTGCTCAGATGGACAAAACACTGAACACAGGATGTTCCTACCAAACTTGTCACACATTGTAATGACCAATTCACACCTCAGACCTCTCCCACCCTTGGAAACAAAAGATATGTTAATTATTATTATTATTATTATACAGGATTTATATAGCGCCAACAGTTTGCTCAGCGACTTTACAAATATACGGGAGACAATACAGCAACAATACAGTTCAATACAAGAGGGAAAGGAGGGCCCTGCTCCTTGGAGTTTACAATCTAGGAGGTCATGTTAATGACCACTCACACCTCAAATTCTTCATGAAGACCCCCTGCCAGGCAGCCTTAATGACTCACTCCACCAGACACCTTTCCCACCCTTGGAAACAAAAGAAATGTTAATGAGCAACTCACACCTAGCTAATTTCAACACCTGCTGCTGTGTCTGCTTCTACTCTCTGTATTTCTTGGAAACAGTCTGAAATAGTTAATAATTTACCACTTTTCAGTGCATTCTGAGCATTTGGGAGGTTCTCCTGTGCTTATCTTTAAAAAAAAATGCTTATAAACGCAACACACACACATAAACGCGGTATACAAACACTGCAAAACAGATGTTTTTTAACCTGCGTTTTCCTGCTGTCAATTTCCAGCATTCAGAAGTGTTCTCCAAACGTCCTGTGTACATGAGCCCTTACATCTATAATGAGACTGTCAACAACAGAGTGCTAAGGATTAGGAGATCCACCTGTTCAACACAATGGCACAATGTATCTACTGACCAAAACCCTGCAGATCATGATACAAGAGCTGTCTCTGCATGTCACCTTGACGACATGACATGGTTTACATCCATATAGCTCATTCCTTTAATCGTGTCACCCATGCAAATGACTGTAAAGGCTGGCACCACTGTCACAGGATTAGTTCAGAAGTAGAACTCCAGTGTGTCCTAAACAAGAAATCAATTCCCACTGACAGTGCTCTGCAAAACCTTTACCCATTTTTTGATCAAAATGGCCTTGTCACCAAAACTCTTCCAAGTGAGGATGGAAGAGTCAGAAAGGTTGGAGTTAAAGTTCAAAGGAAGAAGAAAAGTGCCTCTAAGTACAGTATATCAAGCAATTTATTGAAACCCAAGAAAGGGCACCTGACATGTTAAAAGATAAACACAGGCTCATTAATCTGGGAAGCTGAACAGACTGCATATGAAGACGACAGATAGTGCCCATTACAGTAGGTGACAAAGTAATCTACAGAAGCAGAGGTACCGTCCCAAATGATTAAAATATCATCAATATAGTGGTCATTGAAAAAGTTTTTTATTCACATATTATTGAAATTCAGATATCCTTATTTCATTTCATTTTCATTTAAATCCAATTTTAATTTTAATTTGCCTATTTGTTACATATGTTTTATCTTTCATTCTTACTCTCGATTCATGTACGCAATATATTTATTTATAATTTTTTTTTATATTGATAATATGTTTTTTATAATTTGCTAATTGTCATAGTTCTACTGGGCTTTGTAGTCTGCTTGTCTGGCTGGGCAGTTTTTCTTATATAAAGAAGTCTCCCCTAGACTTTCATTATGCTTGAGAAGCGAGCGCGCATGCCCAATTGTGGCACAGCACATGCTCCGAAACACGTTGCATTGTGGACTCTGGTGATGTCATCACAATGACGTTTCGTTCCACGTTATGGACCTACAGCGAGTGATCAGCCAGCCTTTTTTTTTCTCCTGTGACACGATCAATGCTACCTGGCATCTCCATAGGTAGTACGTTTGGCTTCCCAGATTCCTGATGAGCCTGTGTTTATCTTTTAATATGTGAGCAGCCCTTTCTTGGGTTTCAATAAATTGTTTGGTATACTGCACTTAGAGGCCTTTATCTTTCATACTATAGAGCCTGTTGCAGCTCCTGGAATTGCTTGCCCTAGTGCTGTCTACATATGGACATTTGAATCCAATCACATTGGATTCCAATCAGAAGGACTTTTGAATATTTTGGCCTATTATTTATGTATTATCTGAAGTTAGTTCACAGGAGCAAGGAAGCAAAGTTGTTCCTCAGACCAGTTTCTGATCTGGTTGTTTCTTCTGAGGACCCAAATACCGGTATCGGTTGATACCAGGCAGGGAGGGTTCTGCCTCCAGCAGGGAAATTCAGTGTTGTCCTGCCTACATTATTAAATTTGGCCACCAGATAGAGCCCATAATAAATTTACTGTTTTAAAAAAACTATAGATGCTCCGGCAGTGTTCTGGGACCTGTAAAGGTTCCCAGGAGACTTCGGGAGGAAAGAAGGGGGCGAACGTCCAGCTCACTTTCCAGCGGCGAACTGAGATGGAAGTGGGAGCAGGTACCTGTCAAAACCAGGTAACCAACTCCTCCTCCCCCCAAAAGGTGCCCTATCTGGCTCAGGGGGTGCAGATCTACTCACTCAGTCCTTCTCCTGTGCTGCTGGTGGGTCAGTGGCTGCTACCAGAACTTCTAGCTGGGCCTCTTCTCCCTGCCTCACAGGTGGTCCTCTCTTAGGGGGCCGGTGAAGTCCCGAGTTTTCCTCCCTCCAAGGTCCTCTGCTTGCAGGTGAGCCCCACTCCATCTGGGCCCCCTCACAGGCTCCTGCCTCCAGCCTCATATCCTTCTCTCTCTTCCACCCAAACTCTCCTGTTGCTGAGCAGGATCAATCATTCTTGAGGGTTGTCCTGGCCCCTTGACAAGCCTCCTGTTGGGGATTGGCCAGGATCCCTCAAAAGTGCAGATCAGCCACTCCCTAGATCCACCCACTGATTCTAGACCTTTCTCCAAAGTTCTAGAGCAGGGGAAAATTCCAGAGGGCTGGTCTACAGAGCCTCTCAGCTCTGACCACAAATTGAACCCTGCTAGCTAATACTCCCAGGCTGCTACTCAGCCCTAGCTAACAACTGGAGTCTAGCTCCCCCTAGATACCTAGGAAGGTGCTACAATTAAAAGTCAGCAGCTACAAAAACTGTAGCTGCTGGCTTTTAATAAACACACATTCACCTATCGCAGGATTCAGTGATGTGCTCCCGCATGCCATCCTTTCTCTCTCTCTCTTCTCCACCTGGTACCGGCTTCTCAACTGTGGGCACCCAGCTGTGACAGCTTGTGCCCAGTGCATATGTCGTGCTGTGGCTCCCGAATGGTCCAGCAATCTTCTGGGACCTGCAAAATGTCCCAGAAGACTGTGGGGGGAAGGAGGGGGGGCCGAACTGTGAACCAAACCGTTGTGAATTTTGCCAGATGTGGGACCCCGTCAAAACCAGGTGCCTGCTGCTTCCTCCCCCCCCCCAGAAAGTGCCAATTGAGAAAGTGGAGGTGGGGAGGAGGCAGGCAAGCAGAGCTTCCCCTTTTGGGTGGAGCTCCACTTTAAGGTAAAAAAAACCTTTTGCCTTTAGAAACCACTTTAAGGGACACTTCACATTGACTGTAAGCTCTGTCCCTTGTGCTGATTTTTTTGAAAATGTTTTGACTAAAAAAGCCCCAAAAAACCTCCCAAAAAACAGAACTATATTTGTGAGATTTAGAAGCTAATGAAAAAGTAGAAGGAAGAAAAAAATGTTTACTTCAACCGTTTCCCGACCGCTCTATAGCAGATATACTGCTACAGGGTGGCACGGGTGTGCAAAATCACGTGTATAAAGAAAACAGTTCTCCTCCCTGTCAGCTCGTGCACAGCCATGAAAAGCAGTGTGATTACAGTGAAGCACAAACACACAGCCCCATAGTAAAACACACCCAACACACAGTTAACCCTTTGATCGCCCCTCATGTTAACCCCTTCCTGCCCTTTTTTTTAGCACTGATCACTGTATTGGTGTCACTGGGGATGCCAGTGACACCAAGTCAGTTCCTCCCAGTGTCAGAAAGTCCCGCAGTCCCTCTATAAGTTGCTGATTGCAGCCATTACTAGTAAAAATAAAAAATAATAAATAATTCCAGTATCTATACCACCATTTGTAAACACTATAACTTTCACGTAAACCAATTAATTTACATGTATTGGGATTTTTTTTAGCAAAGGCAAGTAGCAGAATACATTTTGGTCTAAATTTATGACAAAATTAGATTTTTTAAATTTTTTTTACTGGACATGTTTAATAGAAAAAGTCAAAAATATTGCTTTTTACTCAAAATTGTCGGACTTTTTTTTTATAGCACAAAAAATAAAAAACGCATAGGCATTCAAATACCAACAAAAGAAAGCTCAATTTGTGGCGGAAAAAAAGGTGTAAATTTCATTTGGATGCCGCGTTGCATGGCCGCATAATTGTCAGTCAAAGTAACTCAGCGCTCCGTAACGCAAAAAATGGCCTGGTCAGGAAGGGGGGTAAATCCTCAGGAGGGCAAGTGGGTAATAAGCTTTTTAGTTCTAAATGGTATTCTGTGTTTTTCAGATAGATGGCACTGCACTCTTATTTTCTTCTCAATAAAGCATTATAACAACTTATGTGTGTTTATGTCATATTAACATATTTCTTGCCCATGTAACGTACGTCTCAATTTTTGATTAGATGCCAAAAACTAACCACTGGGGATTTTTAAAGCCCAACTACGAACAGATAAAAATTGTCACTTGTAATGAGGTTGTACTGTACTCCAAGGGTTAATAGCTTGTTTTTTCCAGGGGAGAGGAGAAACAGTTTCTCTTACCTGTCCCTCCGCTCCCCCGGCAGACTGCATTCCCCCATGATCTGGAGGTGGACTGTCCCTTAGCGGCATCATGTCCAGAGGAGAGCTAAAGGCCCTGTTCTGGTCTCGTCTACATCAGTACCCTAGACCGCTAGAACACGGGGGTGTGGAAGCTGCCAGGACCAGTCTAGCTGCTGGGAGGAATGGAGGATCGAGTAAGTTTATTTTCTTTTATTGTTCCCTTGTCATAAAGAAGCAATTAACATTTGCAGGGTGGGCACAGCCCTCACTGCAAGGCATAATTATTTTTATTTGCCCAGAGTTAAGCTTTAACCACTTCAAGTCCAGACACTTTTACCCTCTTCCAGTCCAGGCCAATTTTCAGCTTTCAGCGTCGTCACACTTTGAATGACAATTGCGCGGTCATGCAACACTGTACCTATATGAATTTTTTAGCATTTTTTTGAGACAGATAAAATTTTATTTTGGTGGTATTTATTCACCACTGGGATTTTTTTTTTTTTTTGCTGTAAAAATTAAGTCAAAAATTTTGAAAAAAAGTGTTTTTCTTATAAAATTTTGCAAATAAAAAATCTTTCTTCATACATCTTGGCCAAAATGTATTCATCTATCTTTTTAGTATAAAAAAATAACCCAAATTAG